TGAGAGGCTGTTTGGCGGCTCGCTTCAGCCTGGCGCACTGATCCCAGCCTCCTGCATGTTTTATGGGAGATCTTGGCAGAGTTTAGGGCCCTCCCTTGCAGACGGGGGTGGTTCCTGCATGCTTATGTCTGCAGAACCCTCTTCCTTGGTCTCTCAGCACCCTCACCCTGTTGCAGTGTGTTCCTCGTGTTCAGCTGTGTTGCACTGGCCCGAACCTCAGCTTTTTGCATGATCCTGTGATCGGCAGCCAGCCCCGCCTTCCTGCGCCGAGCCCTTGTTTTTTGTGGACCGGAGCTGCTGGCCCTGCTTGGGGCAAGACCCTCCATTCCTACAGGTACAGAGACAGTGACCCTGATAAGAGCTGCAGGTGTGGGCATCTGTGCCTCCCCTTCGTGTATCTCAGGGTTTTCCATGGTACGTCACCAGCGGTGGTCCCTCCGGGGGTGCTGTGGTAGGAGTCAGCTGTGTTCTGCCACCGGCTCAGTGGCTGCGCATCCCCAGGGCGAGGAGCAGGGTGAGAGCGAGCAAGCTCCACAGTGTGCTGCCCGGAGGGAGAGGAGGAGAAGGCAGCCCCTGGGGGAGGGGAGGAAGGCTGAAGGGGCTCTGTTTTGAAGCAAGCAAGATAGAGAAGTGTCTTCAAAGCGTTGCTTGGATGGGATTTGCTGCAGCAAATCCATGCTCCTGTGCCCCAGCCTGTGCTGCTTGGTGCATCCCTCTGCCCCCTGAGGACTATGGGCAGCCTGGGGAGGGGGGGGTACCATGTCCCCCAGGGCCCACCTACTTGTACATTACCTGGGAGGCAGCTGGGCCCCTCCTGAAGTGTCTGTGTGGCAGCTCAGCCTTCCAGCAAGGACAGACTCGGCCTCTGGTGCTTTTTGGAGCCAGCAGCAGGGCTCCTCCACACCTAATGATGGCGTGGGGCACCCCCAGCCTCGCTCCAGCCCTGTGAGGGCAGAGCCAGTGTTGGCAAAGGGGTCCTTGGCTGCAGGACTGGCCTTGGCCCTGCGCCGGGCAGGGACACCACCTCCTGCTTCTGGAGCGGGGGCTGCTGGGGAGCGCAGAGGCAGAGGAGGGCAGTGGCTGGCTGTGCTGATGACTTGGTTTGAAATGAGGATACTGCATCTTTCAGGATTTCCCGTGTACTTTTGACCGTCTTCACTGTATACTCTCCAGTGACTTGTATTTTCAAGCTTGGTGTTGTAAGATGCATTATCATGACTCTTCTGTTACCCTTTTTTAAAGACAAAAAGCAACCTATTTTGAGAGCTCCTACATTAATCAGGCTACTTTCTCTTCCCCACTGTCCTGTGCAGTGTCAGTGCTTGTTGACTTGCTGGTTTCTTTTTTTTTTTTTTTTTTTTTTTTTTTTGCCGATACAAACTGAAGTACGAGGGCTTTTTTGAACCTATTTAAGAGATTGCAGAAAAAAATGTTTACCTGATCTGTGTATTGTTTTTTTTTCTTAACTCTTTTCTTCTGTCTCAGCCAATACTAGCATTTACATTTGAAACTACAAGCCCCTTCAAATGCAGTTTTCAACCATTCTGAAACCAGCAGGGTACACTAGATTTCTTAGTAGTTTTCTTAGCTGAAGTCCCAGATGTTTTCCTTTTTTTCTTCAGTATAATTTACCAGAAAGAATTAACTGATGCATTTTTGTGTTGTCTTCCCCTTCAGTAGTTATATTTTGTCTTTTCTGCACATCTGTCTACTAATAAAAATGTGAAATGAAAAGATGCCAGTACTGTTACTTCCCTCATAATTGAGCTGGTTTAATTGCATGGGTTACTTAAAGCTTTTAAATAACAGCTATTCCCATTTCCAGTGCCATTCATATCTATACCTACACATAAATATTGGAAATGAAGCTGCTGTTTGACAGCTGCCTGACCCTAAGAGAACAGAAGATCCTAAAAGAACAAAAACTGATCTGCAGCAGTACTTTTGTTACGTGTAGCCTTCCTAAGAAGTCAGGAAGGGGAAGCCTGGCGAGGAGATGGTTTATGGTCTCACCTGGCAGCAGCAGGGACAGAGGACAGGGCTGTGTTGCTGCTGGTGGCCATGTCCTGGCAGCATGGGAGCACAGCTCTCCTGAAAGGGTCAGACAAGGTGGCAGGGAGGGCGAAGCTCACTTGCTGTGTTGGGGGTCTCTGAGCTCATGCTCTGCTGCTGGCAGAGGAATTGAGGTCATTGCTGCCAGCCCTTCAGGGTGCCTCCCCTTCAGGCTCCGAGGGGAGGTTTGGTTTTACAGCACCTTACTGCTGCAGTCAACCTAAAAATCATGGGGACGAGGGTACGGGACCTGCACTTGGCAGTAGTTGCAGTGCAGCAACTGCTGAGTCAAATGTGGTTGTAGCTTTCACCGCCATGCTGGAGGAATGCTGGTGGCATTCCAGAGCTGCATTCCCAGAGGATTCTTCACACTGGGGAAGGGATGGTGCCCTGTGGGCCTTCTGACTAGTTGCTCATAGTTCCAGCCCTACACCACAGGGCTGCCCACAGCATCTTCCTCCAGCAGCAGGTGTGGTACCAAAGCCAGCACAACCTCTCCAGTCCACCCTGCACTGAGTAGATGTGGCTGGTACTTCTGCAGGGTGGGTTTGTTGTGTTTGTTTTGGTGTTTGTGGTTGGTTTTTTTTTCCCCTCCCCTGCCTTTGATGGCCAAGTGCAGCTGAGCAGCCTTGGCTCCATCATCAGACTGTGGAACAAGCTGAGGAGCAGAAACTACTGCAGAAGCAGCCCTGCTGGATCCAACAGCATAAAAAAGAAAAATAAAACTAAGACAATAACAAACGAAAACATTCTCCCATTCAGTCTCTCCTGCAGAGGTGGGACACTGCGTGTGGCTGCCTGTGGGTAGGACCCCAGCATGCTGGGGAACGTGCTGGAGTCACCTCCCCTGCCTTGTGCTGGGGAAGAGGATGGTGGCACGAGTGGCACAGCCAGTGGCTTCCAGGTGTCCCTTGCAGCAAGGATGGACCTTGTGCAGTAAGAGGACAGCAGCAAAGCGCTGAGTGGTGCTTACAAGGATCTCCCTTGCTGTTGCTCTGCAGCAACCCTAAGGCTGAGGGTCTGCCGTGCACTGGCCCCAATTCTTGTCTGTTGCCTTTCTCCATCTCCAGCTGCTTCTGGCTCCTGACACACGGGCACAGACTGACCTGCACCTGTGGGGCAGTAGCGGCTTGCTATAAATAAAAAACTTAAGTGCCTGAAGACAGATTTTGGGAGTTTGTTTTTCAAAGAAAAGCCCCTGTGAGGCAGCAGCTCTGACAGGGAGTAAATGAGATGCCATTGCCAGGCTCAGCTGCTCATGCAGCCCTTCCACAAGCTGCCAGTAAGTCCCCAGCCTGCAGAAACATTTTTGACTTCCTTGACATTCAGGCCCCAAAGCCGGTGGAGGGACAGCAGCTGGCAAGGGCTTGCTGCAGCTGCTGAAGTTCAACCAGCATCAAAACAGGAGCCGGGGCAGAGGAATGCCAGCGGGATTCACAGCATGTGCTTAGAGGTAAGCAGAGGGCTGAGCGACACACGGGCTTCTTGCAGATCAACTGGGTGTCACAGGCACCAACAGCAGCAAAAGAAAATGCTTATCATGGCAGAAACAGACATATATTTTTTCCTTGTTGGTCTTGATACAGAATTGGAAAGTGCTAAAAAGCACCTCAGCTGGTGTGTGGATGCATATCGCTTCACATTTACCCAGGTCCTCTGCTGTGCAGGGCCAGGCTGCTCAGGAGCATGAGCCTGGGGCAGGATCTGTCCCTCACATTCCCTCACCACTGACCTTCCTCCTGTCAGAGGCCATGGACCTCCTGGGCAAAGCAAAGGAGGGCAGTGCTGCAGCAGAGCTGCCTCCTCACCTCGCGCAGCTGCTCCACGAGGACCCATCCAGAGCCTGATGCCACCAAAGGCAGAGCGAGCTGCTTATGGCAGGGGTCAGGCTGCGGTCCAGATCCCAGCCCTGCTGCAGCTTCCTCAGGATCTCAGCACCGAGGTGCACTCACCTTGGTCTCCCCTGCAGCCCCACCTGCTCTTACCCTCCCTGCTCCACTGGTGTGGCAGGAGCACGTGGAAAGGGAGAAGCTGCAAAAGCAGAGCTGCTCCTGTAGCCTTTGAAAATGCAGACAAACACCAGTGACATGTTCAGATCTTTATTAGGTGGAGGAAGGGCTAAAAAGAAATGAAACCCCTCTAACATTCTCTGCACTGGTGCAGGACGAGAAGGACCAGGAGTTGCCTCCCAGGTCTGTTTTTTTAAAAAAGGGGGAGGGACAGGTGAAGTTTCCATCCCGTAGCTCTGGCTTTCCTGGGTAGAGTGGCTCCGGGCAAAAAGAGGTACAAGACACAGCTTATACTTTTATTTAAGAAACCGCTACATAGTTTTTGCCTCTAATGATGCAAAGGAGGTTCCAGGACACACTGAGCCATCCAACGTCTCGCTAGAGAAACAGAAAAAAAATAATCCAAACCAAACAAAAAAGAAAGCCCTGTCCTTTATTTTTCTTTCTTTATTATTTAAAAATTGAAAAATAAAAAGGTGAGGCTGCAGCTCAGGGCCACAGTGACCAAACTGCCCACAAGAGTTCGTCTTCCACAGCAGGAAGGAGGAGGGAGACAAAAGAAAGGGGAAGGCCCACAAAACACTTTTTTTCTTTTTTTTTCCCCTCTTTAAAGTAACAGCTCTATTGGGGGCCAAGGGCAGAAATCAAACCATCTTGATTCTTTTAGGGAGGGGCAGGCCTCCTGATTTGCCTGAATTTAGAACTGCATTAAATAAAAGGGCTCCAGCTCCAAAAAATGGCGCAGTTTGTCTTCGACGGAGTTTTAAAACCCACAGAGATTGGAAAAAAAAAACAAGGAAGGAGGCCCTGGTGCATATGGGAAATGAATAATTAGTTTTCCTACAAAGAAAATAAAACAGGCTGCAAGATGCAGAAAACCACATTTAGGCTCTATTACATTTACAAATACATACATAAATATATTACATACAACAGCAACTCAAAGAGGAAGCGGGTGAGTCACACAGAGGATGGCTGGCTGGCTGCAGTTCTCCCCGCACAGACGTTTGGCTGAGCAGTTACTTCGAATAATTCCAGGAATGGGCTTCGGCTTTTTTTTTTTTTCTCTCTCTTTCATTTTCTCTTCTTTTTGTTTCTTTTTTTCTTTTTTATTTTCTTCCTCTCCTTTCATTCTCTCCCCCCTCCCCGGTTTCAGATTTAGTTTGTCCAGTATGGAGAAGTGCCATAGGCGGTTTTGGTAGCCTGAGACTTTTGCTGCATGGTGCTGGGTTGGTTACGTTGGCCAGATCCACCCTAGACATTGGAAACAAAGGAGACGTGGGCATCAGCTGCCATAGCATCAGTGCTCCCCGCTAGAGAAGCCCGTCTGAACATCACCAGAGGAGCTGCCACACCTGGGGACAGCCCTGACACCCACCAACACAGCAATGCTCACCCCAGAACAAAACTGTTTCTGCCCTGCGACACCTCCCCTCTTGGTCCAGGAAGAGCGACCACAGAGACATCAAGCAGGAGCACCGGGATGCACTGTCCCACCTTCCCCCCTCCCCAGCCCAAGAAAAGAGAAGAACAGGACTGGGGACAGCAAAGAAGCTCTCTCAAGGTGCACCAGCCAAGGATGTCACACATTCAGAGAGAGAAGTCATCTCCTGTTTCTGGACTCCAAGGCAGAACACTCTCTTTCTTTCAGGGAGCATTTATCGTGAGGAAAGGAAACACACAGGCTGGTGGAAACAAATCAGACCCAACAATCCACATGCATGGGGATGCTTCAGTTTTCCTCCAGAGTCACAGTACAAGTGCTCACAGGGGGCAGCCAGGGGACAGCAGCACCTGCCTCAGCTTCACACCTCACAGCTCATCTCCACATCAGGATGGCCTCTTCACAAATCAGAGGCTGGCAGGGACCTCTCGAGGTCCAACCCCTCTGCTCAAGCAGGGTCAACTAGAGCCAGCTGTCCAGGACCGTGTTCAGATAGCTCCAAGAATGGTGGCTCCACAACTTCTCTGGGCAACCTGTGCCAGTGCGTGGTCACCATACCAGTAAAGAAGTGTTTCCTGATGTTCAGAGGGAACCTCCTGTGTTACACTTTGTGCCCATTGCCTCTGGCCCTGTCTCTGGACACCGCTGAAGAGCCTGGTTCCATCTTCCCTGCAGGTATTGATATACACTGATGAGATTCCCTCTCAGTCCTCTCCTCTCCAGGCTGAACAGTCCCAACTCTCTCAGCCTTTCCTCAAAAGAAATGCTCTAGTCCCTTCGTCATCCTCATGGTCCTTCGTTGGTCTCTCTCCAGTGTGTCCGTGTGTGTCTCATACTGGGGAGCCCGGAGCTGGACACAGGTCGCCAGCTGTGGCCTCACCAGTGCTGAGCAGAGGGAAAGGATCACCTCCCTCGACCTGCTGGAAATATTTTGCCTAGTGCAGCCCAGGATCCTGTTGGCTTTCCTTGCAGCAAGGGCAGAGAGCTGGCTCATGGCCAATTCAGTCACAACATTCCCTCCCCAAGCTGGTGAACAGCATCAAGCCTGTCAGTCTGCAACCATGGTCATGGTCCAAAGAGCAAAGCAAAATCCAGAAGGAAGCAAAAAGTCCCAGGACCCTGCTAGGACGTGGGTGGGAGCAATCTGCCATCAGGCATGGTGTAGAGGCAGAAGGGGACGACTCACCTGCCCATCTTGCTGAAGATGGTGATGCAGCATCTGGGAATGAGGCTGCTGATGCGCAGGCAAGATATGGAGAAACGGGGCTGGAGCATAACCCGGGGCAGCACCAGGGTTCAGGGGCCCAGTCGATCCAAGAGCAGAGGGCAGGCTGAAAGGAGGCGGTGTGCCAGCATGGAATCCCTGCTTGTCAAACGTCTGCACGGGAGGTGAAGGGGACAGCATCAGAGATTGGTGTGAGCAGCCCCACAGTGACCAGACAGGAATGGCCCAAGGACACATCACCTGAACCTTTCACCAACCATGCGAGCAACCCAAGTGACATCGAACACCTGCGAGTGCTTCAGCAGATGAGTTTCAGCTCCTGTTCTACCCCATATTTCTGCACTAATACCTCACACATTTTATTTTATTTCCACGGCTACTGTGTTACTTCTATCTCTGACCTCTGTTTACTCAGTGGGACATGGGCTAAAGCAGCTGCCTCAAATCAGTCCTTCACACATTGCGGGGGCCCAGCCTGGAACTACTCGGCCTACCCAGGGGAGCTCAACAAAAACACAAGAATAAAAATTCAAGAAGAACTTGCAATAAGATTTTTCCTCACCCTGGCCAAGGCTTGACTCCAATGCTTAGTGTGTAACTGAGAGCTGGCTTCCTGCCTGTACACATGGATCACAGCCATACACAGATTCCCCCGGCTGAGGGTGCAAGGAGGTGAAAACAGGCACCAGGCATAAGCCCACTGCTCACCACAGCCTGTGAAAGTGCTTTCTGCTCTCCCTGGGAAGATGTATGTTGGGCAACTGCCACAGGAGAGCATGGGACAGGAACCCTGGGGTGTTAGGGGTGGGCACTACTGACTGGTCTCTCTGGTGAAAAGCAAATGGCTTCTTGACTCACCTGCTTTGGGGGCTATTTTGACTAAAACCATTAGTGCCATCACATTTAATTTACACCCAGGAAGCACGCCTGGGGCAGTGTGTGGCAGCGCAGAGCGCTGCGCCTATACCAGCTGCTGCCAGCAGGAACTGACCCAGCAGAAATGCTGAGACAGGGGGTGAGACCCCGCTCCAACAGCACAGAGAGTCAGCCTAAGAAAGGCCAAGGCCTGCTGACCCTGAGACCGACCAGCCTGGGAACAGGAGAGGGCTCATCAGCCTGGCCTCAGGCAC